CTAGACCTCGTCAGTATGACGGTTATTATTTTTAAAAATTAAAATTGCTTGCAAAGTGCAATATGGAAGTTAAAAACAAGTGAAAAGTAAGTGAAAACCAGCCTTGGCGATATATAGATTTGAATTTAAAAAAAGATATGCGAACAATATCGGACAGCGTCGGATACCAGTAGTTAGTGAGCCCTCATTTTGGTAACAGGAGAATCCTCTGTACAAATGAATTGCGAGTGATGGATGTTTTTTTAGTTGTGACGATATCGAAGAAGAACGCGAATATTGCAATGCTCTTCGCGTTCCTGTACAAATGCATCGAAGTGTTTAGCGAATACTTCAAGGTGCATTTCTACCATTCCAAAGAATAATTAGTCCTTTTTATGCGTTTTGTGCTGTGTAGCAGCAGTACAAAACGCTTATTGTTATGGGGCTGTCTGTGTGTGTGTATTTGTGTGTGTCCGCTGCAACTTCTGCGCAACTTTTAACTCGGTAACCACAAAAGCTAGGAAGCTAAAAATTTAGAGTAACGTTCCCCACCCACAAATTTAAATTCAGCCTTTCCGTACCCGCGGGTAACACGTACGGCCCCGTAAAAGTTTGGGCAGGTAAAATTATTATCACGAGAACCACAGGAGCTAGAAGGCTGAAATTCTGTGGGCATACCCTCCGCCCACGTGCTGTCCAGAAAATTTAAATTCAGCTTTCCCCTGCCAACAGGTAACTTTTACGGCCCCGTGAAAATTTTTGACGGGTAAATTATTATCTCGGGAACCACGGGGTCTAGGAAGCTGAAACTTTAAGGAAATGTCCGCTTGCCCACATACGACCTTACAAATTCAAATTCAGCATTCCCGCGCTTTCGGGTATCATTTACGGCCTTGTGAAAATTGTGGCGAGCAAACTATTAGCTCGGAGATCACGGGAGGACATTCACCTTCAAGGTTTCAAATTATAAAGCAGTGAATATCATTAATAGGCAATAGTTTGGAGGGCGGAATTGCACAAAACGCATGATCGCACCGGCTAGTCTGATGCGCCTTGCTATTTATCTTAATTTTGAACTTGTAAATTTTCCAGGATTTTGAAGAGGAGTCTGTACGTGACAATTTTGTCGTATTCTACGAACTTCTGGATGAGATGATGGATTTCGGTTACCCTCAAACAACCGAAGGCCGCATCTTGCAGGAGTGAGCAGTTCGTTTTTAGTGAATCTTCCGTTCGAGATCGTATATAATTTAGTTTTTAATCTGTTTAGATACATTACACAGGAACGATATATGCTAGATATTGCTCCACGTCCTCCGATGGCAGTCACAAATGCTGTCTCGTGGCGCTCCGATGGCTTGAAATATCGCAAGAACGAAGTTTTTCTTGATGTTATCGAATCTGTTAATATGCTGGTGAGCTTTCAACTCTTGAATTCTTTTAAATTCATCCGTTCTATTTTGCTTTTTAAAATTTAGTTTGTCGATTTTCACTTATTTATTTCATTCAGTTTGGTTTTAAAAAGTCGAAGACAAAACCTCCTCCGTATTCATTTTTTGCGAGAATTAGAGGCAGTCCTTAATAGTCCGACTGATAGGACTTGCTAAGAGCAAGCTCTCGCTGCAAGAATGTTAATGCTGTCTCTTTCGAAAGTTGCTTAGGAAAAAGCTGGTGGCGGTTTCGACTCCCTGGCATGCAGCATCGCTAATTTGTCATCGAAGCGAATGGACGAATTGTAGAGGGATTAATTTTCGCACTGGCGGAGTTGGACCGTTTCGATCTTCAATTCGAAAGAAGTACCCTTGCCACTGAGCTACGCATACGAGTCAATTTGATTAAATTTGATGTTCCTTTTAATACTCATTCGCATCTTTTATTAGGCCAATGCATCGGGCACGGTGTTGCGCAGTGAAATTGTTGGCACAATTAGAATGCGAGTATTGCTTTCCGGGATGCCTGAACTGCGTCTTGGCCTTAACGATAAAGTGCTTTTTC